AACGACGTCTAGTGGTTAGCAATCCTTGAATGTTTGTGCGAATCGGTTGCAGTGCGCGTATATGTTGCCCTTCGCTGCTTTGTGTAAGGTTCCAGATGTATCATTGCAAGTTGAGTTTTCTGTTTGGTCGGGAGGTTGTTCGGCACAGGTTCTCGGGCTTGTTCGCGGTTGAAGCATCAGAGATCTGTGATTCATGTGTTCAGGAAGTTGTTCGGCACAAGATCACGTGTTCGTTCGCGGCAAAAATTTGAGTATTTGTTATTTTCATGTTTTCGGGAAGTTGTTCGGCAGAAGCTCTCGGGTTAGCCGCATCGTCCCCCTCGCGCAAGGGCGTGTCAGGTTGTTGGGCCGGCTTGCAGGTGAGCTCCCCTTGCAGCCAGCAACGCTTGTGCTGAACAGCACCGCTTTGCTCGTAAACCGGCTAGAAGTGGCCGAGGAGATGTTCAGGTGATTTCGGCTTTTTGTCAGCGCAGCGATGTCCGTTCGTTAAACAACCCAAGTATGTCGCTCGCGTCCTCCCTCCATCCTACCTGTCATACTCTCCTTACAATTTTTCCGCGCCCGACAGGTTGGGGTCATTAGATTTTTAAGAAAAGACCTCCCGTTCCGCCCGCCCCGCATACCGCGGCCGCCAGATCCCCAGGCTCCCGATAATCTTTGGTGGTCCCGCCCCCCACCCCCCCGCCCTGCAGACCGCGGCCGCCAGATCCCCAGGCTCCCGTAATCCCTGGTGGTCCCGCCCTCCCCCCGCCCTGCATACCGCGGCCGCCAGACCTCCGGGCTCCCGATAATCCCCCGCCCCCCGCGCCGACTCGCCCACTCTGCATACTGCTGCCGCCAGATCCCCAGGTCCCGCGATAATCCCTGAGGGTCCCGCCTCCCGCGCCGACTCGCCCATTCTGCATACCGCGGCCGCCAGATCCCCAGGTCCCCCACAGAACAGAGCATAACACCGTACCACCGAACATAACATATCCGAACAGAACATACCATATCATGACAGACCATATCGTAAAATAACACACCATGGCAGAGCAGTGCATACCATAGCACAGCAGAACAGCACATACCATTACATAGCATGACAAATGAAGCATACCATAACCAATCAACGCAGCATTGAACATGCCAAACAGAACATGCCACATCAGCACACAACATGGTAGAGCACATTATAGCACAACACAGCGTAACAACGCATGCTATGACAGATAGGAGCATACGCAACATACCAGAACAGAGCATAACATGGCATCACAGAGCATCACATAATACATACACCATGACAAAGCAAACCACAACATAACACTGCATCGCAGCACATATAACTCCATACCATGACAACGTACAACATGACAGGGCGCGAGATACTATTCTATAGCATAGCAAAACATAACATACCATAACACCATCAGCTATAACATGCTTGGTCACACAGAACATAGCATAACGCCACATATCACAACACAGCAATACAGAGCATAAGACGACACACCGTGACGTACAATTGTGCCATAACGTACGCCGAGGGTTTCGGTGGGGATCGGTCGAGGCAAGATAGTTGCATGCTGCCCTCCTCTGGGTGCCTCACTGGAGGCTTCGCGTGGGTCGGAAACTCGACCTCGTCCCCACGGTCCTGGAGCCGTCGTGGAGCCATCTTGAGCTATGTTGGGGCCCGTCTTGGGGCCCTGTTAAGCCATCTTGGGGCCCTCTTGGGGGCATTTTGGGCCGTCTTGGGGTGATGTCGTGGGCATCTTGGGCCGTCTTGGGTCTTCGGAAACCCTAGAAGGAGGTCACGCTAACCTTTTTGTGAAAACACAAATTTCAGTGAATAACATGTGTATATTGGGGACCTCTTGCGCGCCCTTTTGGAACTCTCTTGGGGCGTCATGGAGGCCGTCTTGAGGCCGTCTTGGGCGCCTCTTGTCCGTATCGGGGCTCATTGCGTCGTGCTTCCACGAGCCTTGGGCGTCTCGCAGCCGTTGCGGGGCGACCTTTGGCTGCCCTGGAGCCGTCTGGAGGCCAAAAAGAGCGCCGGAAAACAAAACCAGGGGGGCGAGTGTCGGACCCCGGTTGGTCGTAGGGCGGGGGCCCTAGAAGCATAAAAGAATTTTTTCCACACCCAAAAGAGCATTCTAACACGCCCAGTCTCTGCTGCAGCAGGGAGACGATCGCAGTCTCTACTTCGTGCAGTGCAGTAGAGACTGCGATCGTCTCCCCGCTGCAACAGAAGCTGGTGCAGCAAGAACCCATCCAGACAAAGTTGGGTGAATGATATTCTGGCCTGTGCTGGTAGCCCCTCCAGCTTTTTTTTTGATTGCTTCCCGACAGAGGGATACGAGCTGAGCTTGCCACCAGCGGGGATGCCCGGGGTGTGCGGGCACCTTGACTGCGGGAGCGTGCAGTGCAGTAGAGACTTCGGCGACCTGGGTGCACCCGGAGTCGTGTTGCGATCGCCTCCCTGCTGCAGCAGAGACTGATGTAGCAAGACAGCCATCCAGACAAAGTTGGGTAAGGTATGTTCTGGCTTGTGCTGTTAAAAAAGGGAGCATTCGAACACGCCCAAACATGCCTAATGGATGGTGGCGGATACTGTTGTTAGTCGTAACATTGTTGTATAGGTGTCAAATTTCCCTGTAAGCGGTCCCCGTATAGTTTTCCTTGTATGGGACTATTCTGCTTCTCGTGGGTTGGCACGCTGCGCGCAACACTCGATCACTAAGAATACTTACTCGTATCATCGTGTGTGATGTTGTTCGGGTTGTGCATGCGAACTGGCTGGAAATGGTCTTATACCAGACATGGGTTGTTCATGCTTGGCTTTCTCCAATCATGTGGCGCATCCGGTTATTCCACACATGCAGGGAAACGACAATGTCTCTTCAGCCCGCATTTACCTACCACGAGACCGCGACATTTTGATGCCATAGCTTGCACACTGCTAGATACGGGGCCAACAAGGAGTCGCATATGCAACAAACAAAAGCAGCTCACAAGGGGTCCGGGGAGGGTCTTTCACCGTAGACAAGAGGTTTCACATGGTGGTGATATGATCCGTGAATCTTTCATGGCTTCAACTCGTGCGGGATTGAGACATCATGTCGCCGTACCGCGCTGGACTGCGTGATTGTCGTGCGTTTCCCTCGCCGTGGTACGATCATGATTACGAGCGAGAAACTACGCTCCCAGCAGGCGCCCCGTCTAAATGTCCGAACGACTGGATCCAGGCAGCGTCTCGAGACGCTTTTGCTGCTTCGAAGGTGTGCCCCTTCCCCCTCCCCAGCTGTACTGCAAGATGCTGTTGAGTTTTGGTCCGGATCGGTATTTCCTCACCATGTCTTCACTCTTGGCCCTCACCACATTCACGTGCCACCCTCTCATCCAATGCAGATCACCCCTGCGTCTCCTTCCCCCCTTCCTCTCCCCCCCATCACTGGTTCTTTTGCGTGCGTGTACCCCCAGTCTGCCACATAGCCAGCCGCTCGTCCCCTATCTGGGGCCTTCCATGTCAGCCATTTAAGTGATGTCTCCAACATTGGCCTCTGGGCGTCGTCGTTGGAAACTGCGTGGCCGAAGTGGGACGGGGGCGCACACTGCGCGCGAAAGCGTGGCCCCGCGCTCGTTTGTCCTGGGAGTTGAGTTCCCACCTGGGCACGGCAACGTCTTTGTCGCTCGCCACTCCGTCGACACCCGATGGTCGCGATGGCGAGCGGGCGAGTTGCAGCTCTCGCCCACAGCGCCGCGCCGATCTTTGGCCTGCAGGTGGCGTTCCTGGGTGGGCGTGGTGCGCACACACACACACACACGCACACACACACACACACACACACACACACACACACACACACACACACACACGCACACACACACTTGTCACTCGCCCAGTCGCTGGGGGCCAGGCCGCGCGCGAGCGGGCGAATCTTCGCACTCGCCCGAGCATCGTGTACATTTTTCGCGTGCAGGTGGCGTTCCCGCTCGTGCGCGGCGCATGGTCTGCCGCTCGCCGCGTCGCCATGGGAGCGGCAGTGGGGCCGTCGCCCCAGCGCCGCGCAGAAATTTCGCGCGAGAGTGGCAGAGCTGGCTCGGAGCGGCGCACGCCTTGCGTTCGCCACTCGCATCGGGAATGTGGCCGCGCGAAGAACAACTAAATACAGTCAGACTCGATTGGAGAGGACACGCGAGAGGACACAAGACCCTTCCGAGGGCCACGTTGCCATTGCAAGAGGCATGAGTCGCAAGACACAGGACACGAGGGTACCCTTGATCTGGCAGGGTCGACCTACTAATCCGGGGCTCCTGTAGGGCTCTCGTTGCAGCGCCGCGCAGGGATTATCTGGAAGTGCCGTTCCCGTCCCTGCGCAGTCAGTGTTTTCCCCACTCGCCGAGTCGTTGGAAGCGGGACGAATGGGTACAGGCAGCCCGGATTAGTAGGTCGACCTTGCCAGATCACGGGTACCTTCGTGTCCTGTGTCTTGCGACCCATGCCTCCTGCACTTCTGTGGCAACATGGCCCTCGGAAGGGTCTTGTGTCCTCTCGCGTGTCCTCTCCAATCGAGTCCGAATGTCGGAAGGAGCATCTTCCGTTCGCTGCCCATGAAGGCGCGTCAGTCACACCATCAAGTTGCGTTGGTGTTGGTTCCTTTGTGAGGGTACGACGGGAGGGACGGTGCAAGTGGTCGGGGCCCGCCGATCGACCGGGATGACTTTGCCTCCTCCTGCTCCTGCTCCGCGGCCCTCCCCCCAGCTGTCCACCGCAGTTCTCTTCGCCGCTCCTGCTCCTCCCTCCTCCCCCCCGCATGCTCCCATCCCTTGGCATCGCTCGGACGTGTGCTGTGTTTCTCTCGGCGAGAGCCATCGAGGACCATCCTGGACCATCGAGCAAAAAAAACAAAAAACAAAACAAAAAAAAAAAAAAAAAAAAAAAAAAAAACGCACCAAACCGAAACATGCACGGGAAGTGGACGTCCGAGCGACGGCAAGATCCCCCCCTCGTCGGCGAGGAGAGGGCAAAGGGCTTTGGCAAAGGCAAGCGCTTCGCGAACCTCTACCTGGCCCTGGGGAAAGAGGCCGACAGGCTGCGCGCCGGCGCGACCCGCGTGGCGCTGCCTGCCGAGGCGGGCGCTGTCGGCTCCGCTGCTCCAGAGGAGACCCTGCCGAGAGGCGGGCGGAGGAGATCGGGGGAGCGCGGGGAGAGGAGAGAAGAGGCGAGGGAGGAAAGGGGGGGGGGGGGAGCATGAGGAGGAGGAGGAGGGAGGAGGAGGAGGAGGAGGAGGAGGAGGAGGAGGAGGAGGAGGAGAGGAGGAGGCGGAAGGGAAGGGGAGACGGGGAGGAGGCGGCCAGGGAGGGAGGAGCAGGCGGCAGCGGCAGCGGCAGACCCCGGCGGCCGCGTGCCCAGGACGCCAGGGCCCCGCCGGCCCCGGCGCCCTGGGCGCCAGAGGCCGGGGCGGCGGCCCGGGCTCCCGAGGCCGGCGGTGCGGCCTTCGGCCTCGGCGCGCCGAGGGCCTTGTGCTCGCGAGCGTCAAGGCTGAGCCACGGTGGGCGCCTCCGCGAAGGGCGGAGGAGAGGGGGCCCAACAGTATATACACCACCAGCACCTCCCTCACCCCCGTCCCTCTCCCAGGAAAGGGGGAGGGGAAGATGAGGGTGGAGGAGGGAGGAGGAATCGACGTGGTGGTGGTGTGTATTCTCTGGGTCCCCTGAGAAGAAGGCACAGGCATCAGCTTCCGTAGGCCGCCGCCGATGTTCGGGTCGGCGCTGGGACCCCCCCACCCCCCACCCCCGGGCGGCGCTTCTGGCGCCGGTTCCTGGCGCGCTTCGCGCGCCGGGTTGGGGGGAGGTCCAACGACGACTGCAGAGGTTCGCGCGGACTTCCAGAAGTTTGTGTTTACTTACGTAGTTGCGTAATGTGTTGTTCTTCTATCTTCGTCCAGCCTAGGGCCCAGGACCCCCACGGATCGATGCTGCTCGGGAAGTATTGCGAGAAGACAGGGTCGGGTGTGGTCATATCATGACGTCGGATGGAAGGGCGGGGGTCGTCAGGCTTCTAGTGTCCCGAGAACCTTCGGACGCGCCCAACCCCTATCCGCCTGGTCGTCTCCCTGCCTCCTCTTCATCCCCCTTCTCTCTTTCCCTCCCTCCTTCGTCGCTGTCCTTCATCATTGGTTCACCTCCCCTGATCATCTCCTCTGAAGGTAATTTTGTTGAATGGGTGGTTTCCAACTTCGCACCTTGTCGACCCTGCAGGACACTGAACTCGTACAGGTGGCCTCGCTTGCGGAACGCCCGTGAATTAAACGGCTACGCACGCGGATGCATATCGAAGCTCGGCCGAGCAGACGGGAAATTGCACTTGCGTATCGCACGCGTGGATGATCCAGTTGGCATTCCGCATTATTCTTGGCAAATGTCTCGTTCCTCGAAGCCCTATGCGCCCATACGCAGAGCTATGGAACCGCCACCCACCTCAGCATGCCTCTCGTCAGGTCACTTATCGAAGACGCCTGCGGCGAGTCTCCGCCGCCCCCTGCCTTCTGGAAACGCCTCTGTCGCGGAATGTCTAGCGAAAGTGCAGCTCAGCGAGGGTGTTGCAGATTCCACAGCCGTGGTGGAACATTGGGGAGAGGCCCTCTGGTGCCGGGTTGGGGCTGTCTTGGGGGCATGTTGGGTTTTCGTGTCTTTGGGGGTTAGTCTTGGAGACCTCTTCGGGCCAGCTCGGGTCATCTTGTGGATCTCTTGCACCGTTTTAGGGCGCTATTGGGCCGTCGGAGGCCGTCTTGGGGGCCTCTCTGGGTCTTTCTTAGGTCCCTTTAGAGTCGCCATTGGGCCGTCCATCCTGCGATGTCTTGGAGCCGCGCCACAGCTTGCGCACTCGGCGGCCAAGAATCATACGGCTTGATATTGGTTGCGTCATACGTTGCGCAGGCGGTCGATTCTATGATCGGTCGCCGTCCACTGCGCACACGCCGACCGATAATATAATGGCGTATGATTGGTTGCGCCGTGGTATGCGCTCTCGGCGGCCGATACAGTCGGATTAAGAAACCTCTTCTCGGAAAGCTGGGCCAGCGCTTCTTAATCAATTTGCCAGACAGGTGGCCCAGTTTCTTGAGCTCGTTGCCCCCCCCGTACAGAACATAGATGTGTTCAGGTCTGTGTGGAGAAGCTTCCAGGAAGCTGGCCCAGATGTCTTAAATCATTGCTTTCTTGATCATTTTCCGGGCCCTCATACAACAAATTGCAATTGGTGGCGGCATAGTTTGCACACCCAGCGGCCGAGGGCAAGATTGTCGGTCATTGCCTGTGCTATAGGAGACTCACGCGACGGCCGAAGACCGAATATGTAACGGATTGTTCTCGGCGTTGCCATGGGTTGCGCATTCGGCGGCCGATGATAAACCGGCCGTTTGACGGATGCGGCCAGGCTAGCCCGTCCAGTCCAGTCTACAATCGAGCGTTTGATTAAGAAATTTCCTCCCGAAAATCTGGGCCAACGGTTCCTATTCAATTTGTCGGAAAGCTGGCCCAGTTTCTTGAGCACATTCGCCCCCACCCCCAGCGTGAACAACAGAAATTTGCCCAGGTCTGTGTTGACCAATTTCCAGGGAGTTGGCCCAGATGTCTCAAATAATGATGTTCTTGATCATTTTTCCGGCTATAGCGCACACAGACAACAATCTAGCGACGCCCGAGGGAGTACAACGCTTTAGGTTTCTTCTGTGATTTGGGATTCACGTGGGCGCCACCACGGACAATTGGAGACCATCGTGCGACACGTCGGAGGCCAGGATCCAAGCACGGTCCCAAGGCCTCTGGAAGCGTCACATGGGGAATGAATGGAACGCCCAGAAGCGTCCGATAGCGGTGGCCGGGGCTCGCAAAATGGTTCCAAATTGAGACTCTAGGGGGCCTGAGGGCACTCCAAACAGTGCCTGCGGCACTTGGCGGATCAGAAGGCATCATAATCTAATTTAGCATCGGGCGCGTTCACGTTTACAACACGATGCAGGATACGTCTGGAGTTGGCTTTCAGTGCGAAGCGCGCTCGAATCCCCACATCCCTGTAACAAGAAAACAGCTTGTTGACTGTGGCAACTCTCGCTTTGCCTTGGTGCAGAGGGGAAGCAGCTCCAATCACTCTCGTTGTCATCCTCCTGCCCCCCATCCCCTGGGATGCGACTTCACAAAAACACAACGCCGTGAAGTTGACACCTCCCTAGCTCTCGACACAATTCTTTAGCCGGGGTCGTCAAGCCAGGTCGATCCGCGAGGGCCATGCGGGCCGAACAAAAAGAAACAACAGAACACACTCCCTCCGATATGCGCACTCACGCCGTTCATGGTCTATTCGCTCGGATCGGCGTTCCGCCAACAACCAGCTCGGGCCCCAGGCGTTCGTCCAGGACGATCTGGGCTCCCCAGACGGCTTTCAACGAGGCGCAGCTGATGGCGAATGCACAGACCTCGGCCAGGCCGATCCTGAGCCCAGGACCTAGGATTCCGCTGTGCTGACATGCTTCCCCAAGCAGTCGGGGGCCCTGGGATCCTGGCGTCACAATGCTTTCACACCGAGCCAGCTCAAAAAGTGTTGCAGAAGGACGGGGCCCAGTGCTCCGGCCGTGATTTCTACGGTGTCGCAGTTGGCTCCCGACGTCGAGCTTCGGGCGAGGGCGTGTGCGCCGAGCCTGGGCCCAGGGGGCGCCCGGCCAGGGCCGGTGCGGATGCAGGTCCAGGCCCCCGACGTCACGGTTGTGCCGCAGCGTGGGCCCCCCGGCATGTCGACCCCTTCTCCAAAGCTGGCGTCTCGTCCCGAGTCGCTCGTTCTCGCAGGCGACGCCTCTATCTCTCCCGACCCCCGACGAGTCGACGGATAATTCAGCCGCTCGGAAGAGGAGGGACACCCTGGGATGCACCCCCAGGGGTCTCTTCGGGCGCACCCCTGCCGAGGCTGGGCGCCCCCCCTCGCATATCCCAGGGTTGGGCCCCAAATTGCTGGCCCATACGAAACCCCACGAAGCCTGGGATAGGGGTCGACATATCCCGTGTCATGCTCACGGCCCCGGGGGCAAGTGACGGCCCCCCTCGACCGAAGATTGCAAAAGGCCGCCCGGGCGACGAGAAGACACGGGTCCTGCGCGAGATGGCATCGCGACCTGACGCAGTGGCTCACGCGTGCTGCCAGCGCGGCACGCTGCATTGGAAACGAGGCGCGCACGCACGACCTTACGCAGGCAGCTTATGTCGGCGAAGACGGCCCCGTTGTTTTGCGTCGATCGCCTGTCGTGCGCCTGTCGCCTGCAACGTGATTCGGGACCGGAACCGGAAAAACAATGCGACGGAACCCGAAAATCAAACGCGACGGAACCAAATGAGAATGGCACAATGGATTTGGTTCAACAGAACCCTTGCCGCTTCCAAGTCCCGCTAAGGGTCTCGGTGAGCGACGGACAAAAAAAGAGTCGCCTTCGCCGACATAAGTTGCCTCCGTAAGGTCGACCACACGCGCCCTCGTTTCCAAGACAGCGTGCCGCGCCAGCGGCCCGCGCAAGCCACTGCGTCACGTCGCTATGTCATCTGGCGTAAGGCCTGATTCTTTTCATCGCAGGTGGTTGGCATTGGTCGGACGTGTGCATTTTTTCTCGGCGAGAACCATCGAGGACCATCCTCGACCATCGAGCAAAAAAAAACGCACGAAACCGAAAAATGCACGGGAAATGGACGTCCGAGCGACGGCAAGGGTGGTGGTTGGCGTCTTCCTGGGGGGGGGGGGCCCTCGGCCGAGCCCGCCCGGCGCGAGCCGCGAGGCCACCGCGGCGGGCACGGCCACCCGCCCTGCGGCGCAGGCCGCCGCGCCGGCCGCCGCGCCGGCCGTGTCCGCCGCCTGCGGGAACGCCGCGGGGGCGGCTGCGGGCGGCGGCGGGCGGCGGCGGACGTACAGATCTCCGACGATCTGACTCACCTCAAAACGTTCCGCTCGAAGGTTCTGAGACAGGTATGAACAAGGGGGCCACCGAGTAACCCCACAGGGGGAGCGGGGAGCCCTAGGCCGCCGTTTCTGGCAGCCTGCCCGCCCGAGATTCCCTCAAGATACATCAAGGAAGGAATCGCGTTTTCGCTTCAATGCCAGCTAGATCCCGTGCAAAAATGCACCAAATTGCACATGGCCGTGCTCTCACCCTTGTCCCCTGTAGAGCCGACCTCCTACTCATCGACCCGCCTCTTCACCAGTGCTGCTATTAGGGTGCTTTGTTGGGGTATTCGTTTCAATCTGGGCGTTCGTCTGCGATTTCGGGACATGGGGCCCGTTATTGGGCCTCGGGGCCATCGAAAGTAGATCCAGGGCGAAAATCTCTACCGAGGAAAATGGTCGGGACCTCTGGGGCGGCGCTTTGAAAAGGCACCGGCGGACGTCTGGGGATGTACAAATCGGGGTCGCCCAAGCCCAGACCCCGTTCGCGCCGTCAAGAAATCACGAATGGAGGTTTTTGATCGTTTTCGGCCTCCCGCGGGGCCCTCGCTGGGCCGCGAATTGGGGACATGAAAGATCTATTCGGGATGAAATGTTGGTCCCGGGGGACGGGTCGAAACTTTCGTTCTCTGATGACCCGCGTGCAGAGCACAGGGGTCGCCGTGACGCAAGGCCGGCGGCTGCAAACAGGAGCGGGTAGCTACGTCACATGCCTCCAAGGGCTCCGATCGCCCACGTCTTCGACGAGGCCGACGAGGCCCCACGGCGAAGACATGGGTGAGGCGGACTAAGGCGGGGTGGATATCATGGCCGGGGCCATGCAAGCTTCCAGATGTCATGGCCCTCCTCTTCTCGTTGTTGATCTGGTTCTCATCGCGTGTATATATGTGTGACCTTTGCTACTGTCAGAACTGCCCCTGGGCTCCCTCGCGTCCGCGCACATGCCTCGGACCATGATGCGCCAATCCCCTCCTTCTGTGGCCTCTCTGCGCACCTGAACGGAGGACACGGGTCGCCGCGAAGCAGAGCGGTCTTGAGGGAATCGGGCCCAAGGATGTGTTCCAGCGTCTTCGGCCCCCGTAGCACCCCCAGGCGACGGGACCGTCGAAAGACGTCTCGGGGAAAGCCCCAGGGGCCCAGGGGCTCGTCTCCTGCAGGGCCCGCTTTTTTCCACAGCACCAAGGGCCAAGGGCGAGGACGAGAGCGACAAAGGGGGCCAGCGGCGATGGCGACGAGGAGGGCAAGGATCTGCGCACGTTTCTGGACCTCCTGCGGTATAAGATGCGTTCACTGGTTTTCTTATTACTTGAGGAAGCAGGACGACGATAGGGAAGACGTGGAGGATGAGGACGAAGACGATAACGATGAGGAGGATGACGACGACGTTAATGCCGACGGTCGCGACGTGGGTGAAGAGGAGCGGAAAACGGAGGAGGGGGAGGGGGAGGGGGAGGGGGAGGAGGAGGAGGAGGAGGAGGAGGAGGAGGAGGAGGAGGAGGAGGAAAAGGAGGAGGAGGAGGAAAAGGAGGAGGAGGTGGAGGAGGAGGAGGACCAGTGTAAACCCAAGAGTCGTCAACGATGTTGGAGTACACCCTCCCTCCAAGCTCCTTCTTCATTGGCTCCTGCAACGGGCCATCTCCATTGAGGGAATTGCCCCGTCGGAAGACAAACGTCTGAAGAGTCTGAAGCAAGCCAAAGCATTGTTCTCGGAATCCCAACGCTACGGATCAACCTGACTTATGCCTGAATTGTGCGTCTTGACGCCATTCCTGTAACTGCAACGCCGCGAATCAACGTGTTGCACCCGCATAATCCTGAATCTTTCCCAAACACCATTTCTAGTACGTTAATCACGGGAACCTGTGAAACTCTCGTAAACTGTGTAAACGAATGTGCGGGGCGCTAAAGCGAGAACAACAGTTTGAAAAGGGACCGCCCTCGATCCGTGAAACTCTTGCAGTGTATTAAAATGAATGTGCGCGGCGCTAAGGCGAAAGCCACATGTTGAAAAGGAACCGCCCTGAACCCGCGAAACTCTTGTAATAGTTTAAAGTGAATGTGCATGGCGCTAATGCGAGAGCCATCTTTTGAAAAGGAACCGCCCTCAATCCGTGAAACTCTCGCATTTGTTTTGAATTGAATGTGCACGGCGCTAAAGCGAGAGTCACATTTTAAATAGGAGCCGCCTTCAATCCGCGAAACTTTTATAATTGCTTAAAAAGAATGTGCACGGCGCTAATGCGAGAGCCACATGTTGAAAACCACCCGCCCTCCAGTTGTGAAGCTGTTGCCAACTTTGTAAGTTTCAGGGTCGGAAACGGTGAGGAAGTCTCAGGCGAAAGTCCCAGACCGCCTTAAGAATTGGCCCCGGGGTGCGACAGGGAGAAGATGTTTAGAAGGAAAAGGAATGGAGGAGGAAGAGGAGGAGGAGTAGGAGCAGGAGGAGCAGGAGTGGCGGTTGCGGCACCGGCGGATTGTAGGAGGGATGGACGACGACGATGGCGATGATGAGGAGGATGACGAAGACGATACTGTCGACGGTCACGACGTGGGTGAAGAGGATCGCAAAACGGAGGAGGGGGAGGGGGAGGGGGAGGGGGAGGAGGAGGAGGAGGAGGAGGAGGAGGAGGAGGAGGAGGAGGAGCAGGAGGAGGAGGAGCAGGAGTGTCGGTCGCAGCATCGGCGGACTGCAGGAGAGAGCTTGTGGAGGAATGGGCTCCTCTTCCTACTCATCCTTGCTTCGCCGCTGCTTCTCCCATCGCCGCCTTAGCCCTCCCCTCGTTCACTCCTCCCCCAGCGTCCTCCCTCCTCAACCTCTGACCCTCAACCTCGAGGTTGGCACCTGTGGAGGCGCAGCGAGCTCGGAGTGCAGTGCCGTCAACGTCGGATATCGTGTGACAGTCCTGATTGGCCTTCGCACGGGTGTCGCGGCTCGTCATGTGCTGTTCAGAAGCTGCTCTCTAACCCGCTGGGCCACGTCTTCGTCGCCATACCTGGTAATTGTTCAGGCTTCGATCTTGGGTCCGTGGTAGATTTCCCGGAAGGTGTGCAAGGAGCTGCAGGCTGCGTGTCGGATGGGGCTGGTCTTGTGGGGACGGTCAGACTTGCGGAAGTTTGCATTCGGCCGACTCGAAGAGTTGGATGTGTTCAGTTGATGTCGCCGTGGGCTCGGCCCCATTCTTCGGGTTTGCGAGAAACTGGATGCCTGTGGTCCAGCTAGAAGTGGCGAGTTAGAGCAAGCAGGATGCTGGCTGCAGGACTTCTGTTCCCAAGCATGCAAGATGTTCGGTCCCAAGCATTTGCTTGATGACCGGACCGCCCCGCAAATGAGCAGACCAGAACAGAAGGAAAGCTAAATAGGAGGTTTCGGCTTCCCTGGAGTGAGACGTTGACCGGAAAACGATCCCCGTTCTCGCTGTTGGTGCTGCTACCTCCCGACCGTTCATGGTGCAGTGAGTCCATCTACATATGGATGCCCCTCTTCCTCCTCCTCCTCCTCCTCCTCCTCCTCCTCCTCCTCCTCCCCCTCCCCCTCCTCGGGCACCCAATGATTCGCCAACACACACACACAACACACACACGGACACACACACGCACACACACACACACACACACACACGGACACACACACACACACGGACACACGCACCCCCCCCCCACATCCGCCTCTCATTCCCCTTGCCCCTCTTCACTTCCTCCCCTCCACGACCTGCTCCAGCGACTCCTCCTGCACCTCACCCCCAGGCCTCCTACCTCTTCCTCCACTTCGGGGCGAGCGGGCGGCCGACCCGCCTGTGAGAGAACTACTCTCCCCTCTGCCCCGCGGACGTGTCGAGAGCACCACGCCCCCTCCCGCGCATTGCTCCCCGAACTAAGGGCTCCCTCGAGGGCGCGAAGTTATTCGCGCTTCGCGCTTCGCGGTCCTCGTTCCTTCTCCCCCTCCTCCTCGTCCTCCTATTCTCCCTTTGGGAGGGCGGCGCGAGAGCGCGAAGTTGGGAGCCCTAGCGAACGGTGTTTGCACCTGGGAGACCTTGCTCCCGATCTTGCTCCCTCTCCTCTGGCAGCGGGGCCTCGAAGTGCCCGTCCGGCTGGCTCTTCTCGCCGCCCGTCGCCGCCGCTGATTGAGGTCTGAGTGCCGGCTGCCCGTCCTTGCCGTCCGCCGCCGCCTCAGTGCCGGTCCGGCCGGCTCGTCGCCGCCCGTCGCCGGTGTCCGTCGCCACCATCTGCGGTCGCCATCCGCAATTGCCAGCTCGCATCAGCATGCCACATGCCACAATTGCATGGATGTGCACTGCTGTGCACTGCTGCGCAGTGTTTTACACTGCGTTGCATAGCGTTGCATTGTTTGGCATTGTGTTTCATTGAGTTGATTTGCGTTGCGTGGCATTGGTTAACATTGTTTTGCATTGCGGGGCAGTGCTTTCGCAGGTTGTACCACATGGATTGCACGACCTAGATTGCACCACGTTGCTTGCACCACCCAGATTGCACCGGACAGGTTGCAAGAAATCATTGCTTGGGGTCCTTGCTGGCTGAAATGTATTACACCAGACTCTCCAACTTTGGCTTGTCATATCGCCGTTGCCCATCACAGCGCTGTCGGCCCTTACAGAACGGTGCTCCCGATGCAGTGTTGGCTTCGTTTCCAGATCGACGCGCTGCCCCCGTCATTCAGATCGGAAACTGGAACATATACATTACCAGTGGCGGGTTCTCTTTCAATCCAAGGACTTTTTGAGGGTTGGGGACGAAGTTGGGGTGGTGTGGTGTATATTTTTCCCCCATTGCCCTCGGGGAACATCAAATGTATACATCAGGATCCGGTATACACCAACATCCGCGTTCCTGTGCGAAGTTCAGTGCAGGACCAGCAAAAGCGTCGGTGTATGGAATTCGGTTCCCTATCAGATTGGCGCTCTCGCCCTAGCGCGGGCCACAGTTTGGGGTCCGAGTCTTTCCTCGTCGTTGTCACCAAGCTCTTTGAGCCTTCTCCGCCTTCCCCTGCTTCTCCTGCTCATCCCGCTCTTCGTACACCTGCTCCTGCTGCTGATGTTCCTTCACGCCTTCACGTCCTCCTCCCTCCTCATCCCCTCCCTCCTGCTCATCCGGCCCCCCTGCTCCTCCTCGCCTTCCTCCAGTCTACACAGGTGCCCGTGTTACTGCGCATAACACGATGAGGTCCTTGTTGCGGGTCCAGGCAGGTCCCCTGGACACCCGCCAGCGGACAGGGAAAAAATTAGCGCAATGGGAAGGGATGGGTGGGAGGGGTAGGACGTCAGACATGGCGCGAGCACGCCTAGCTTGGTGGTAGCCCGCTCTGTGGTCGCCGGCGCCCTGGTTTGCGTTCACCACACGGAGCGCCCACGATCCGACCTCGATCCCCCCCCGCCCCCCCAGTCGTTGAAAAGCATAGCGCCGTGAACAAAACACGGCCAGATCTTTCGATCCCACCTCCCCGCGGGGCTTCACGAGCCGATCGAGGAGGGATCGCCTGGGGAGGGGAGTGGCCATAGCAAAGCAGGCGCTCGCCTTGCCACCCTGAGCCGCGCCTCCGGCGGTCCGAGAGCGCTGTGGAGCTCCATCTGCACGCGAGGGGAGCGTCGCTCCCTGTGCTGGATGTGTACAGTCAGGGCGTGGAGGTGAGGACCGCTTCGGGCCCAGGAGGGGCTCTGGGTTTCGGGCCGCTCCTGAGATCCCTCCTCGCTCCTCCCTCCTCCCTCCTCCTCCTCTCTCCTCATCCTCCTCCTCCTCCTCCACCTCCACCTCCTCCCTCCTCCCTCCTCCCTCCCTCCTCCCTCCCTCCACCTCCTCCTCCCTCCTCCTCCTCCTCCTCCTCCTCCTCCTCCTCCTCCTCCGTAGCCATTATGGCTCAAGGTCGAAACGTTTCCCTGGCGCTTCGACCTTGGTCGCAGCCGACGGGGAGCTCGAGCTGCTTTGGGAGGCACAGGGCCTTCGCTTGGGCTTCTTGTCTCCCGACCAGTGGCCCTCCAGAGGGTGGGAGCCATCTTTCCCGCTCCCAGATCAGCGAACGACGGTTCGTAGTCATGGATGCTTCGCTTCAGGCTGCCATTGCTGCGTCCATCCAGGCCGCCATGGAGACGGCTACCGCGACCATCACCCAGCACGTAGATGCGAAGATGGCCAAAGTTGAGGCCACGCTCCAGGAGCACTACACGGCGATTGCTGAGCAGAGGGAGTCGCTGTCGCAGGTCATCGCCACGGTCAACCTGATGCAGAGTGGTGCTGCGAGCTCTGGTGGCTCCTCAGCAAGTGGGCCTACTTCGGCGACCAGGGCTGGATCGTCCATCTCAGCGGGCATTTTGCCGAATGGCCCCAAACGGGGACGTGGAGCTGACATGATGGATGGCAGTAATCCGAAGCTCAAGTTCGTGGGAACCTTTCCGCGTCCAGTCCTACAACGCGTTCGAGAGGCACATTGGCGTCAGTTGGTCGCTCGATTTCCCCATCACCTTCGAAATGGTGCCACACCCAAGTTTCATGCAGTCAGTCAGAGCTACTCCATCGAGTTTGAATGCGACAGGATTGCGCGCGAGTTCACGCAGGAGTGCAACAGGGTCGGCATGTGCTGGATCGACCCCAGGGACGGCTCACAACACACACTGAGAGTTAGGTCGGACCTACCTCATGACGTGAGGCAGAAGAAGCGCGCGTTCCACCACCTCTACGGGAAGGTGAAAGCCATGTGTGAGAACTGTGAGCGTTGGGACGCTTCGGCTCGTCTGGGCGTGGATGGCTTCAAAGGTCAGCTGCGAATCTCGACGGACGATGATGTGTGGACACTGGTGACTGCTACTCCAGCGACTAAGCGAGGCGACGTGGACTTCTTCAACTTCACGCCGAACATCAAGGACTGCCAGGACTGGGGTATCTCAGCGGAGCAGATTCACGCTGCCATAGAGACCTCGCAGCAGGAGATGCAGGACCATGATGAGATGTTCACTTGACAAACGAACCCAGAGGCAACGCAGGCTCTTGACAACAGACGTAATACCTCTCATACTCGGGGGCGTACATCGACACGATCTGGGGGAAGAGCGACTACTCCAGCGAGTAGCAGAAGCTCTTCGACTTCTTCCTCCTCCTCCTCTACTTCTTCGTCCTCGAGCGGATCGGGTTCCACCTCGTCTGGGTCCTCCACCTCTTCCTCATCTTCTGGGTCGTCTGGGTCATCAGGAGCTGATACCATTAGTTCTGTGCCTTTTTTGCCTAGCTCTCGTCTTGGGATGGTCAGCTGGAATTGCCATACTCTTTTTGGGTCTATGGAGGGGGATCTGAAGACTCAGAGGAGCACTTATACATTAGTACAGTCACTTACCAGCAAATATGACATCGTAGCTCTGCAGGAAACTCATGGGCATCATGGGGACCTGGTTACACTATCTCGGGATATTAAGTCGCACCTGCACTTTGGGTCCTTCTGCAGTTCTGTGGGGAGAGGTGGGGTCGTGACCTGTGTGGCTAAATCACTCGTACGGCAGTTCGACTCAGTGCGTTTCAAGGCCTTGAAGAAGGGCCGCATCTCTGTTCTAACTCTGTCTTCTCCGACCTCTCGGCTTCAGATCTACAACATTCACTTTGTTCCTGGGCTTCCTGAGGCTATCATTAAACAGCAAATGTCTAGAATACGCTCTCGTATGGCATCTACCTCATCCTCTGCTGCCTTTTTTCTGGGAGATTTCAATTATCTCGAGAGTGGTGAAGCACGGCTTCAAGTGCACGACGGGGTTGAACGTGCATCCCACAGCCGGCTTGCCATCGCATTTAACGAGCGCTTCCCGATGATGGGGGAGATCATGCAGTCTTCGTTCACCCATCGTGCGCGCACGTCGGATACATTAACTCTTGCACGTCTGGATCGCATCTACGTGAGCACACCCACCGCCGACCTCCTCGATCTCTACCCCCAAAGTGGCACTATGTGGCCAATTCATGACTTTACGAAACCATCAGATCACGCACCAGTTTACCTATGTCTATCTCCGCTACTCGCTCGACCTGAATCACCCATCATTCCTCGGTGGATCGCTCGACATGATCGCTTTCGGACTACGTTGGACACGCACGTGTTGGACGGAGACCTATCCCCGAATCCTCCCGAACGGCTCTTAGAGATAAAAGATTGGATGAGGCACGCTGCTGCCCAGACGCGCCTGGCTGTGTTTGCCCTTGGGGCTCGGACCAATGCAGAGAAGGTCTCCTGTTGCACCAAACTCTTGAGAGCCGCTCGGTCAGGACAGGAAAAGGTATGTCGTCAGGCTGTCAAGGCCTACCCCATCCTCGCCCAATTCTACGACACTGACGTTGGTGTCTGGACAAATGTAAGTGGCTTTCACACTCAGTTGTCAGCCCTGATGAGGCACGTGCTTGACGACTACGAGCGCGAATTGTCTGCTCGGCAGCTTCCAGTTGCTGTGCGCGACTTTCACATTGCTCGTATCAAGCGTCTTGGGAAGGCTTGGAGGGCTTCCAGGAGGCAGGTGTGCTTATCTGCTGTTGTTGGCCCTGATGGCACTGCTCATGCCGACCCGCGTACTTGTGCTACCACACTTGCTGAATACTGGGGGAAGGTTTTCAGTCCTGGAGCTCCGAACTTGGAAAATGCCAAAAGATTTCTGGACCTGATCCCGCGGATCCCTGAGGACAACTACCAGTATACGACGATCACTCATCAGCGTTATCCTTGGGTCATCTCTCCTGGGCAATTTCATGATCTTCTTCATTCCCGAGTTGATTCGGCTCCCGGCCCTGATGGGCTACCATATTCGGTCTGGCAGTGTGGTAACCAGGTAATTGAGGATGCGCTGTATCAACACTATATCCACTTGATGTCTGGCGGAGCAGTGCACGAGTCGTTTAACATGTGCAAGCTAGTCTTTCTTCCAAAAGGTGAGATCCCCCTCGACGGCAAAGCGACTAAGGCTGCTGAAGAAACTCGTCCTCTGGCCCTCAGCAACACCGATCAAAAACTGATGGCCTCAAGTGTGGCCTACCCCCTGAAGGTTGTGGTCCAGGAGCGGCTCCACGGAATTCAGCGTGGTTTCATTGGGGGAAGAAAAATGGTGGACAACATATACGACTTTGAAGGATCGCTTGCCCAATGGGGTGTTCTTGTCGGGGGAGAAGGAGTAGGAGGGGCTACGTTCGACCTGAAGGCTGCCTTCGCCTCGGTCTTCCAAGTCTGGCTCTTTGAGGTGCTGCGTGCCTATGGTCTTCCGTCTAGTGTGATTGGAGCTCTGGCAGCTCTCTACTCGAATTGTATTTGCTATATCTTCATTGGGAGTGAAAGATTTCGGGGTTTCTTAGCCGAGCGTGGAATTCGTCAAGGGTGTCCTCTCAGTGGTATCTTATGGGCCTTTGCCATGGACCCTCTGTTGCGCGCGATAGGGCTAAGACAGCTTCGTTACCCGTTTACGCCTTCAGCCTTCGCGGACGATCTCTCTGTGGTAGCGTATAACCTATTCGAAATCCTTCCTAAAGTAATTGCTGACATCAAGGACTTCGGGCCTATGTCGGGCCTCTCGCTGAACATTAGTAAGTGCAACATCATGCTCCACACACAGTACACAAGAGATCAGATACGCCAGAAATTTCTCGAGCACGGCCTCGACATTGACGGTTTTAAGCTGTCGAACATGGTGACCACGCTTGGGGTTCCAGTCGGTCGTGGAGCCCGAGAGCGCGCTTGGCTTCAGGTGAGCAGCAAAATGAGAAGTCGTGCGGGGGAGGTCAAAAGTCTCGGCTTGGGGTTCACGTCGTCCATCGTCGCTTTCAACCGCTACTGTGCTTCCATCCCGCCCCATATCGCCCAGTTCTACCCCATCACCAATAAAGCGAAAAACAACGAGAAGGAGAGCCACCAGCTGCTCACTTGCTGCCCTCGGCATTCTTTTCCGCCTGAAGCTTTGAAGCGGATGAAGGAGCTTGGTCACCCTGTGCAATGCCATGACCTGGAAGTGTTTGCGCGTGCGGCGCTGATAAGATGCGCGCACAACTCCGACAGCTTCCAGCGGCTCTATCAGTGCTTCCAGGACACCATTGCTAGCGACTACTATAACCTGACCTGGAAGTGGAACCCATACTTGAATGATTCGATATTTTTTCAGACTGTTGAAATCTACCCCAAGTTCTTGATGGAATACCCACGGCTTTTGGATGAGGTGGACCCCAAGGTGGTCCAGAGGAAGATTACCTGCGCTTGAGCCAGGGACTGGGACTCCAGGAGTATCTCGGAGGTTATCGCTCCTCGGCTTCAGAAGATTCTTGGGCCCATCGAACCTATGGAAGTGCAGACTGCCTGGTATCGCCTTGGTCTCCTCGAAAAGCACAAGTGCCCCACATATATCATCACGAGTGTCGTGAAAAGCATGTTCAACGCGTGGAACACCACGAGAAGATACCGTCAATCAATTGCCATCTGCAGATTCGGGTGTGGCTGCCACAACGGGGACACCATGTTACATTATGCTGTTTGCCCTGCCGTCGTTCCTTTCATTCGTCGCCATCTTCGTCATCTTCCTGTGAGTTGGGGATCTGAGCCATTCTCTGTCCTTTTCCCTCAGCGCTTTTCTGTCCCATCCATTCCCTGTCTTCTTTCGCATGCTGCTGCTGTCGATCTGCTGCATAGTGTATACCAGGTAGTTAGGTGCCGCCCTGTGTCTTCCAATCGAGCGTGTGCACTGATGCATGGGCGCCTACGCGCCTCTGCTCGTCGCTCTCGTGTCATCCGCTCTGTTGTTGGTTCCTCCATGCTGCAGCGGATCTGCTCCTCCTTCGGAGGGGCTCCCGGAGGCCAAGACAGCCCGCTGCACTTAAGGGGCCCTTAAGTGCAGCGGATCTGCTCCTCCTTACCAGACCTGGTGGAGGACCAGGTAGGTGTGGACCCTTACCGGTTCCTCTGCCCGTCCTGTCCCCCAGCCTCCCACTGCTTAGAGCATCAGAGCTGAGCCCGCCACGGCTCCATCTTCCTGATCTTCCAGGCGCGCGGGGAGGGATCTGCTCGCCAGGGGTGCGCCTCCTCCTCCTCATCCTCCTCCTCCTCCTCCTCCTCCTCCTCCTCCTCCTCCTCCTCCTCCTCCTCCTCCTCCTCCTCCTCCTCCTCCTCCTCCTCCTCCTCCTCCTCCTCCTCCTCCTCCCTCCTCCCTCCTCCCTCCTCCCTCCTCCTCCCGTCCTTCCTCGTCTTCTGGGTCGGGGAGCCTGCTCGTGGCCGAGGCTCCGCCGTGTCTGGAAGGGCCTCTTCGCTCCTCCTGCGGAGCTCCTCATGGCGGCGTGGGATGGCCGCACCCCCTGGCGCCCTGCAGGCCATCCTGCGAGGGCCGCGCGGCCAGTGCCGCCGACCCTGCGCGCAAGGGCCAGCACGAGACACTGGCAGTGGGATGCTGAGCAGGAGGATAGGGAGGACAACAACATAGGCGAAGAACAAGACAACATAAATCAGGAGGAACAAAACACACAGACACAATGATTCGTCGATTCCCCAGAAAATATGGGAAAATGTGGGAAGTGTGGGGAAGACAAGCATCCAGGAAATATGGGAACGTATAGGGAAGTGTTTTATTTGTGTGTGTTTGCTTATGTGTCCTTGGGTCCCTTGAGTTGAGCAGGAGGATAGGGATGATAATAAGATAGGCGAAGGACAAAATAGCATGAACATAAACGTTCACAGCTCCGCGCGAAGATGTCGGATCGGCGATGGGCCCCCTGTGCGCGTGCCGCGCGCCGGCGAGGAGGGCCCAGCGCCGATCCCAGAACTCAGTGCAGACCTCCGAGACATTGTGATGTCACACAGTCTCTGTTCCTCCCGAGGGGGAGGAGGAAGATCGGAGGTTGATAGACCTCCTGCCCTGACACGTCGATTAGCGAGCTGGCCGTTTTCGGTTTGCGAGAGGGCGTCGCGGCCGTCATTTCTGCGGGTCCAGGTCCGTCGGTTTCGGTCCTAGGCCGTTTTCACTAAGTGGAGGTTTACCAAAGGGAGGTTTGTCCACCGCCGAGAGGAGGATCCGATCCTAGCGAGGATCCCCGATCGCTCGGATCTGGCCGGGCCAGGTGCCCTTGCCG